CAGAAGCAACAAGATTTGGGTCTCAGGAGTGATCAGATGGAGCCAAGGGCTTTGCTGAGTCCGAGTACCCGCATTTTTGGGTACATTGAGTAAACAAATGACCAGCAGTGATGATGAGTCATCTAAGCATGGAATTTAGTGGATTATCATTTCTCCAAGGGTAGCTAGGTAGCACAGTGGATAGAGTGCTGGGCCTGTAGCCAGGAAGATTCAGCTTCTTGAGATTCAAATCTGGCCTTAAACACTTACTAGCCATGTGACCCTGGGCAAATCACTTAACCCTGTTTTCCTCAGTTTTTCATCTGTAAAATGAGCTCAAGAAGGAAATGGCAAACCACTTCATTATCTTTGCCAAGAAAACCCGAAAAACGGGGTCACAGAGTCAGACATGACTGAAAAATCACTGAACAATAAACAAAAAAATCATTTCAACAGTGGTTCCTCGAGGAAGTGGCAAGTCAGCCACTCATATACACAAATCAGTGGAAGTTCAGACTTCTTCCCAGGACTGTTCACTATAATTTTCAAAGTTGTAAATGAAATTTTTTTTCAATAAACAAGTATTATTTCACTCCCTCATACCTCCCCACACTCCACTGGGGAAAAAAAAATGGCAGAACCCTTGTAACAATACGCATAGTCGTGTAAAACCAATTTTGGCCGTGTCCAAAAGTGCATGTCTCATTCTGCATATTGAGCCTGTCACCTGTCTGGCAGGATGTGGGCAGTGTTCTCCATTATCAGTGCTCCGGAATCATGGTGGCGCTGGAATGATCAGAGGGTGTTTTTGAGTCTTTCAAAGTTGTTCCTTTTCTCCAGTGGTATCATTATTCTGTAATTTGTTTTCTTCTCATCTTGCTTTCTTTATTTTTATCAGTTCATACGTGTCTTTCTCAACCCATCCCTTTGGTCATTTCTTGTGGCACAGCAGTATTCTAATACATTCCTACACTGACTTGTCCAGTTATTCTCAATTGATGGGTACCCTCATTATATTGCGAGCTCCCTATTAAATTGTGAGCTCCTTGAGAGCAGGATCTCTCTTTTTGCCTCTTTTTGGATCCCCAGCACTTAGCATAGTGCTTGGCACATAGTAGGTGCCTAATAAAGGCTTATTGAGTGACTGACACTCCCCTTCCCTTAGTTTTCAATTCTTTTCCACTAGAAATAGAACTGTACTTAAGATCTCTGACCCCTCATAATCTCAGAGACAGAGATAGGATTGATTTAATTTTCAAAATGAGATTTCATTTTTTTGGACATAGGACAGTGGAGAAATTTGTTTTGTAAGACTTGTGTGTGTATGTGTGTGTGTGTATTTATATATTATGAAGATTTTGTTTTTCTTTTCTTTTAAATTGAGTGTAATGAGATAGAAAAAAACTTGTTATTTTAAAAATAAATAAAATGAAAAAAATGGACTTTTATGCTATATTTTGAGATCAACTATAATGAATTCCTCTCCTATCATTTTCCCCATCTTTTCTTTTGATAATTTTGCACGGACATTTTTTTCATGGAAATTTTGTTATTTTAATTGAATTTTACAAAGTATTTATTTGGCATTTTAATTGATACTGGAATTAGGCTATGAATTGTGACGTACTGGCCAGAATGACCACCTATTGAGAATGGCCTAAAGAAGTCCTTATGGAGGTAGAGGCTTTGAGGTTCCTTTCAACTCTGAGCTTCCTGTGAATCTTTGGCCTTTTTTTTTTAAAAGAATATTGACTTTAGTTGCTAGTAGGCTAGGTTGCTGAGTGTGTAGCTGGGTGTGCTTAGGGGGCTTAATCTCTTTGAATATGGAAAATTCTTGTAAAAACATTAATGTGAATAACAAAACAAATCCCAGTAAGACAGAAGGTAGTATAATAGAAATAACATTGGGTCGAGAACCTGGAATTTTAGATTCAAATTCCGGCTGTTTGCCCTGTTGGCAAGGCATTTGATTTCTCCCAGCCTTAATATGCCCACCTTGAAAACAAGGCCATTTGACAAGATGACCTCTAAAGTTCTCTAATTGTACAGTTATCCTGAAGTGCTGTCTCTGTCTTTTTTTTTTCTTTTAATTCTTCTTCTAGCACATTGTTTTTATTGTCAAATTCTTTGTGGCCTGGATGATCCCTGACGTCCCAGCAGAAGTGAGAGCCCGAATCAAACGGGAGAAGTTCCTGACCATCCAAATCCTCCATGAGTATGAGCTCAACAAACTCAAGGAGAATCTGTGCAATAGGACAGATTATCAAGTAGAGAAGGAGGTTATCGCCACAGAAGGGAAAAGGGAGCTGGCCCAGGTGATGGGATAGCCAAGGAACTCAACTGATGCCTGGTGGCCTGACTTGCCTCAGTTCTCTGGGATGTGGCTCTGGGCCAGGAACCAGATGTGCATTTGGGTCCTTCATTTTTTTACCCAAAGATTTTGAACTCTTATAGAAGTCACTGGTCCCAAGCTTTGCCATGTTGGAAACCCGTTATAACTTCACGGTGCCGGCTCTCATCACGTGCTATTTTATGGATTTCTGTTTGTAACTGTTAAAGTGTGTGTCCAGAATCCAATTATTAGAAGATCATGGAGCAGCAACAGCTGCTTAAGTCAAAATTGTCATGGTAAGGCAACATTTCACCCTCCAGTACATCGACATGTTGTCAAAAGCTTCCATCCTCTAGAACATTTTGTACACCTTAGTTTCAGTCTTCCCGTCGAGTGATTGTAAGACAAAAAATAAAAAGGAAAGGACTGTGTCTACCAAAGCATGCACATCTTGCCATTTACCAAAGGACTAAAATCATTTGATTTAAAAGAAACACACACACACACACAAACACACACACACACACGCACACACCTAAAACAACACTGCAAAAATTAAGAAGACTAAATCAGGTAAAACATGATTTTTTGGGGCCCAGTGCTTACATTTAATGAATTAAATGTTCATTAAAATCCAGGAAGGCTGGCCTTCCAGGAAATTTCAGAATTGTTTTTCCCAAAGACAGACTTCTTAAGCATTACAAAGAACTAACCCACCCCTAGTTCTTGAATGCTGTTGTCTCTAACCTGGGAATCAGGCATGCTTTGGTGTGTTGAATTTCTGTGAGTCTTCACGAGTATAAAATGGGTTGTACAGAAGCTAATATCTTATCTTAATATTTAAAGAAATCAAGACAATGTATATTAATGTATCTGCTCTCTTTAAAGTTATGAAGTTGGTAGAATTATTCTAACTGAAGCCTTGCCTTCCAGAATGCTTCTCTCGCCTCATGGAGTCATTTTTGCACACTCTCAGACAGTAGCATTAACCATGTGTGTCAGTTGGCCGTAAGTGTTTATGAGCTGTGTACTTGTGAAAGCAACTTCAAGCCTTTGAAAAATGATTTCACAACTGTTTTCTATGGCTCTAACAGCCTGTACTGTACTCAGTGCCTTTTTTTCTATGTCTTTCATACATATGAAATGAAAGTGTTGGTCCTTGAGTAAATACCCTGTATTATATTTCAAACACAAGCCTGCAGGCCTTGAGAAGTGCTCAACCTAACAATGAATGTCCTGTATTGTCTGTGGAGGCGGAGTGATTGTTAGACTTGTTAGCTGAATCAGTAATATACTTCTTGTATATTCTTTCCCAAAATTAAGTGTAAGGCACACCTTATTCACATTAGTAGGTGTCCTTGAACCTAAATCACATATACACATGTACATATATATACATATGTGTATATGTACATAAATATACACACTATGCACATATAATTTACATATATTTAAAATAGAGGAACCGTTCAGTTTGGTACTATGTGAATCCTTAGTTCCTAGCTTGTGCTCAGTTCCATATGAATGACATTTTTCTATCCTGGGACATCATGAAAATGTTTGATCAGAAAAATTCTGACAGAATTTCTCATAGGATTTTCCGAGTTAATTACCTACCTCCTCCGGCACACAACATACTTTTGCTGCCATCCAAGAAGTGACAAATGGCCATAGGTTAATCCTCCAATAACTGATGCTTTGGAGTTTTCATATCACAAGTCAGGGTCTCATAAATCCAAGGACAGCCTCTCCCACACCCCCTTTCCACAGTGCTCCTGCCATCTTCCCTACTTGTCAATCACCAATTAAGATGCCATCAGTTGGGCTGACTGTTAAATTTTTTGTATAAATCAAAATGAGCTACTGTTCATTGTACATCTAACATGCAGGCTTATTGAGCCGCTTGAGAACCAACCTGGTATTAAGTGCAATAAGCCACCCATGGGTTTCCTTTATGCCAACTTGTATGCTGCTAATGTATTGTACATGATTCATCTGCCATGTTGTTTTCTCTTGCTTGTATATCAGTTTGAGTTTATTCTGCTTAAAGGGTTTCCAACTCAGCTTCATGAAGCAAAGTAAATCCCATGAAAGTCCCATGAAAGTGCTAACTTTGCGATGTGAATTGGAAAGCAAAGACAAATTCTTGTTTTGGTAAACTGTGCGTGAAGTGACCACAGATGAGAGAAAACATTTAAAAAAAAATACCCCAAAGTGAGGCACTTACAGTGTCAGTAGACTTTTCATTTTTTTTTTTTTTTTTGGTGAGGCAATTGGGGTTAAGTGACTTGCCCAGAGTCACACAGCTAGTGAGTATTATGTGTCTGAGGTTGGATTTGAACTCAAATCCTCCTGACTCCAGGGCCAGTGCTCTATCTACTGTGCCACCTAGCTGCCCCAAGGACTTTTCATTTTGAAAGAGAGATTTTGGAGAATACAGGGTACCCCAAAATTCTTAATAAGCTTCAATAACTTAAAACTATACTAAGACTTTTGTCCCTTTAAAGGGACACCTTATACTTTGTACTTATGGTTAATTCTTCTTTCTAGAGGGATCTTGTTATTCTAGGGGTTGCAAAAGAAACTCTGAAGCTTGCCTCAGGTCGATAAATTCTACCCCAGACTAAATTTTTCTTTTGAGAGAGTCTATTTAGCAAGCAGTACATGATGGTTGACTTCTGATGGGGGCCTTGATCATTTGGTTGGATTATCCTTAGCTATCAATGAAGCTGATGGCTGTGTTTTCACTAGTAGACCAGGTATTGCTACATGCTGACCCTCGCTTGACATTTTGCAAGAGTCAAAACAGGTATGTGACTGCATTCACACACTCCTTTCTAATCACCTTTGTTCCCCACCATTACTTTTTTTTTTATTTTCACAAAAATATAGATCACAAAACACTAACGTCATGGCATCACCCAGAAGGGAAAGTCTGGATTGTGTGAAAATTCCTTTTCCTGCTTCCATGGCTCCTCCTGCTTAGCACACATTATCACATTCAATCAAGGTGTTGCAAAAATAGCCTGTACTGTATTTGTGTATTGATGGGATGAGTTCTTTCTTATTAAGTGGACTCAAAAGTCAAAGGGCTTTTCACCCTCAGAGGCTAAGCAGGGGTATAGTTTTCCTGGCTTTTAAGACTGTAAATAAATACATATTAAAAGGTGTCCTTTAATTCAAGGGGAAATGATTCCGTAGGGCCTCACTGCAGCGTTTGGCCTGACTGCCACACTTGGCCTCCCTCAACTGCCTCATGAGAAAAAAATGTGCTGATTGAATAAGATTATCGATGGCTGGACTCTCTCAGTTTAAAAAAAAAGGAAACGCTGTGATGGGAGGTTTTAGTTTTTATTGAACAGACACAGTGTCTGCTATTGAAGGAGAAGGAATGTCAGGAACTAGCTATGGGATCATGAAGGAAGTATCCTACCGAGCAACACTATATTCTTTTCATAGCCATTTTCTTTTGTTTGTTTACTGCTCTTTTGCCATTGTACGTGACCATTCGAAATGTGTTGGTTTTTCCAATCAAAGAAATAAATCATCTGGGCAGGGAAGGAGGGGATTGTGGGAAAGGAGGGAATGTCCTATCTGTGGCAGTCACTCACTTCCCTGCCTGGATTCCAGAACATGTTTTTATTGTTGTTGATCGTGAGTAATTGGGGGTGATTCGCTATTCTGTGGTACCTTGAAGATGAGTCTGCCTCATTGCACTCCACCTCCCTGTTTTATTTTTTATGTAAATGTTGCTTTTAGTCAACCTGCAAGTAAATTTCAGGAGATATGAATTCAGTCAGTAAATAAAACAACATTTAATTTTTTTTTTAAACTGTACTTTTGATAACATTTTAATTTGTGTGTATGTGTTTGATAATAAAATGTCAGTGGTCTCTCGACTTGGCCTGGGTGCCCTGGAAAGGTTCTTTATCACGTTGAAAATGTCAGGAGAAATGTTAGACATCATCTCATCCAACCTCATTTAGACAAGGATACTGATCTCCAGAGACGGGAGGTTGTGTTTCCAAGGTTGTATAATAAAGCCTGGGCTAACTAGACCCTAAATCTCTTGTGAATCATAGGCCAATGCTCTTTCTACAGTACCATTCTGTCTTGACTAGAAGTATATTCAAATTTATGGAAATGTCGAAACCCTGTTAACCTTCTTTGGCTGGGGGGAGGGAAGGAAACACATGGAGGAAACTGAAAAAAATAGGTAAAATTTTTTGAAAGTGCTATTTACAAGTTTGAAGTCACTTTGTTACTTTACTTTTAGTAGTAGTTTACTGTTTAGTGTATAAATTGGTTTGCTCACAAACTTATCATAGATGATCTAAGAGTTGGAAAGACCGAAGAGGTCGTGTGATCCAAACTCTCTACAACATCATTGCCAAGTTATCATCTATTCTCACTTTTAAGACTTCTAAGGTTGAGAAACTCATCACCTCCCAAGAAAGTGCCATTCACTTTTGGCAAGCTCCAGTTTGTATGTAGTTTTTCTTTACATGAAGCCCAAATCTTGTCTTTTGACCATCTCCACCCATTGTGCCCCTCTCTTTGGTTATTTACACTTAGTTCTGCCCTTTTAGGCCAAACAGAACCAGTCGAGTACCTCTTTCACAGGACAATTTTTTAAATACTGAAAAATAGCTATTATATCTCCCTTGGGCTTTCTCCAAGCTACACAACCTAGTTCCTTCAGCCAGCTCTTAATCATGTCTCCAGTCTCTTCGCCGTGCTGGGTGACTTCCTCTGGCCTCTGAACTTTTCAAAGTTAGTCCTAATATGTGGCAGCCAGAATAAAACAGGGCAGAGCATATAATAGCAGACTTACTGTATTTCTTGCCCTGGATATTTCCTCCCTTTTTGTAGCCTAAAATCAGGTAAACTTGGTCATGTGTCTGGGGTTCACGTCCTTCCTATCACGCATTACTGATTGTGTGACCATTGGCAATATAACCATAATGAGTGGGCCCTGGACCCCTTCAACTGTTCAGTAAAGTTTATAGATCCTTTCTCAGAATAATGTTTTTAAATTCATAAAGTACATGGGATTACAAAGAAAATCTTACGTATATGTGTGGGTATGTATTTTAAAAGTTCATGGATTTCAGGTTAAGAACTGCTTTTTTTATAAGAATTTTTAAGTGGCAGAGCTAATGGCCATCTGAATTCATGAAGGAAGTTTCCTCCGTGGCAGTTCTTTATGGCAATTAAATCACTAGTTAGGAAAAAAAGTTGACCCAACACATTTTCAATTCATTCTATGTATTACCCAATACCTCATTAAAACAGATAGGCAAAAATCTGTCAATTACAAACTTTGAAGAATGGTCAGGATTTCATAGAGTTCTCAATCAGTTTGCTTATAGATGATATCCCTCAAACTATTATAGTGTTTTTCCAGTGAAAAAGATCTCTCCCACTCATCTGCCCTATAAACATGTATGTGATGTAGGGACAGAATGTGGGATAGTTGAAAGAGCACTAAATTTGGAGTGGAAGGACATTGAGTATGCATACCAGCTCTGCTCTCTATTCCTTCCTAATAAAGTCTCTTTTCCTTTCTGGGCTTTAGGCTGTCTCAGCTTCAAAATAAAGGGGTTGAATTTGATCCTATTTAAGGACCCTTCCCAGCTCTCAACTGATTCTGTCAAGTAGATAATTAAGTAATGTTAGGCAAAAGAAGCATAAGGCAAATTTATACCCAATTATTACACCAGAAATATCAGGACAGGCTTTTAATCTCAATAGGACAAAATTCCTAAAGACACGCAGCATGTAGAAAAACCTGTGATGGGGAGTTGGAGGAAAATCAAGGAATGCAAACTCCTTGAGAAGAGGAACGGTTTCATTTTTTGGTCTACGTACTCTAAAAGCTTAGCACAGTGCCTGGCACTTGATAAGGGCTTAATGTTTATTGAATTGAAAAGCCCAGGTGATGACAATTGGATTGATTATTTATGGACCAGGAAACTAAGCTAATCAAATGCTGCATATTATGAATGGAAATGGTTGTGGGGAAGGAATATAATTGAGGGGATACAGAGCAATGTAGGAAAGAGATGGGCTCTGGCTAGCTCAGGTAGTAAGCTAGCTTTCTTCTGAGAGCTTGAGAGAGTAAAGAAAGACAGTGAGATAATAAGGTAATAGATAATGAGTTGGAAAGGACTTTAGAGGTCGTCTTGTCTTGCCCTATCATTTTAGAGGTGCAGATGTTGAGGCCCACAGAAGGGAAGTGGGTCACATAAGAAAGTGGCAGAGGCAGGATTCACATTCAAGTCAAGGGACCATAGCTTCAGAGATGGGAAGGACCCTTAGAAATCTCTAGTCTAATGTCTTCCTTTTAAAGATGAAGAAACTGAGGCTGAGAGAAATTATTTCCCCAGAGTCATACAGTTAATCAATTTCTCTGAGTCAGGATTGGAGCTTAGAAATTCCTGACTTAAAATCCAGGGTTCTCTCCCTTGTAGCACGTTCTCTGCCCAGTGGAAGGTTTTTGAGCACAGATGGAACTTAATTGGAGTTCACAAAACCAGAAAGTTCTAAAATTTCAAAAGTTTAGAAGGTCATAAGATCATAGAATTAAAGAGGAAAGACCTTAGAAATCAAGTTCAATCCCTTCATTTTACAGATGAGCATCTAGTCCAACCTCCTCACATTATGTATATTACATAGAAAAAAACTGAAGCTCATAGAGTAGAAGCTACATGGCCAAGGTCATGTAGCCGGTTAATGTCAGAGCCAGGGCCAGGAACCGGGGGTCCTGACTCCATGACCGGTGTATTTCACACAATTCTATGTTACTTTTCTTTGGTTTGAGTACTAAAAATGGTACATTTAAGATAATAGCACCATACATTTAGAGGTAGAAGGGATCTTAGGGGCTGTCAAGCCCTGGTTTTTAATTTTACAGATGAAGAAATCAGGTGCAGAGAGGTTAGGTGTTTTGTCCAGGGTCACACAGCTGGGAAGTGATGGAGGTGGCTTTGAAATGCC